TTTTGCTATTTTCTTCAAAGCAGCTTGAACTTCTTCCTTCATCACCATAGGCTCTTGCTCATTTGTTTCATGAAATTCTTCTATGTCTGCCAATTTATTTCGATACAGTGACTCAGTATATTCTTTCCAACTTCTTTTAATACTTTCTGGATCATTTAATATTCTGCCTAAAGTATCCTCCATTTTTAAATAATCTTCTGTTGTTTTTTCAAGCATCTGCTTTGAGGAAAATATGAGGCATCTGACTATGCTGCCACCTTGGACCATACACAAGATATATTATTACTGGAATTCAATTAGTAAGATATTTCATGCTTTACTTAGAATGTTTTTATGTACTTTAAGTCAGAACTAGGTCATAACTGACCCTCCAGAAGGTTTTCAGAGGCATTAATTTCCCTATCTTTCTCCCAAGTAGCCACTGATAGGTTATAACCATGTGCTTTTGAGTTGGCAATGAAAATCCTCACAACCTGGCCACCAGAGCTTGATTTCCCTTACAATTTAAGACCAAAAACAAACACCCGCCCCTCCCCTCAAAAAATCCCACAAGAAACAATCAACAGAAATATCACAAATAGAACTATAACCCCAACTCAATCAGATACAGATGACAATTTTAAAACACTGAGCATCAAATGGAAGGTTAAAGGGATGGAAATACTGAGTGGAAGGACTATAAAAAAATGGTAGATGGGGAATATTGTGACCCATCACTGCTCTGTGATCGTGTTCATTATGGCTATATTTATACAAAGCAAACTGTATTTTCAGTTGAGGAGCAATGGAAGACAACTTTACGGAACTTACAAGATACAGAGATAATGGGTAAACAAATCTGAAATGAAACAAGTGATGAGAACTTAAGTCAGATAAAAACAACTCAGAGGAAATAGACAACTGAATCTTGATCTTGGGGTAGGACTATACACCAGTGGTGATGCTTGATCATATGAACAGGATAAACTCATTGAATAGTAAAATCACAGAGCAATCCTCAGCTGTTCCCTACTCAGCTAGACTTCATCATCTAACAAGTAAAAGGCTCCACCATCTGGTGTTGGCAAGCAGAATCATTCATTCCACAGCAAAGTTAATAATTAGGTAGGGACCCTCTTCAACCAATCACCCAGTAAAGTAAAGAGCATTCATCAAAATTACCACACCTTCCCCATAGCCCCTGATGGAGGCCCATGAACCAAAGTGTCTCCCTATTTTCCAACTCGTTAAAACTCACAAGTAGGCACTTTCTCACTGCCTTGCCCCTCTGAGCACAGTGGATCAGAAGTATCCTACTCCACCCAGCCATCCATGCCTAGCGCCTGTGGACCTAGTGGTACCCCTTCCTCCCGTCAGGTGTCCATGCCAGGGGCCTTCAAACCAGCGGCACTCCTTCCTCTGCCCAGCCACCTGCACCAGGGGCTAGCTGATTAGCAGTGCCTGCCAGATTTAACCAATGTGGACCAATGGCATCTTCAACAGATGCAGCTCAGGATGTACATGCTCACCAGGTTGTGCCCAACCAGGCTGTGCCAAGAAATCTGGAGGACAATTATCTGGCCAAGTGACTGGAAGAGATCCATATTTATTTCCGTTTCAAAGAAGGTGATCCAAAAGTGTAGACATTATAAAACAGTATCATTAATATCACATGTAAGCAAAATCCTGGTGAAAATTATGCAGAAATGACTGTAATAGCACATTGACAGAAAACTGCAACATAAACAAGCTGGGTTCAGAAAAAAGCCGTGGCAGTAGGGACATTATAGCCAATGTTAGATAGATCTAAGCTGAGAGCAGAGAAAACCAGAGCAATGTCTATGTGTGTTTCATTGACTCTGCAAAGGCATTTGACTGTGTAGATCACAAAAAATTGTAGCTAAGCTTGAGAAGAACGGGAATTCCACCCACTTGATTGTGCTCATGTGAAACCTATACCTGCAACAGCAAGTGGTTGTTGGAAAAGAGCAAGAAAATACTGCATGGTTCAAGATCACGAAAGGTGTATGTCAGGGATGCATGCTATCTCCTTACTTTATAAATCTATATGAAGAACGATCATTCAGGAGGCTGGGCTTTGTGAGAAAAAAATGTGGCATCAGAATTGAAGGAAGACTCATCAACAACCTGCATTATGCAGATGACACAACCTTGCTTGCTGAAACTGAGGTGAACTGCGTGTTTGGTGCAGATGGCCATGGACTGCAGTCTTCAATAATCAACCTAAAGAAAACAAAGATTCTCACCATTGGGCCAAATGGTAGCATCATGACAGACAGAGACTGAGTTTGTTAAAAATTTCAGCTTGCTTGGTTCCATAATCAACATTCTTGGCACCAACAGTCAGGAAATCAAAAGACAAATTACATTATGTAGGGTTACTCTGGGGCAAATGTGTCTTCAGGACTTGGCTGCATGACTTGCATGTAAGGCGTGCCAAGGAGGAGGACTGCAAATAGTTCTTGTACATCCTGGGACATGTACTTCCTTGAAGACAGAAGTCGATATTCTTGTTCTTCATAAAGTTGTTGTGAGTATAAGAAAACAGTTAAAGAATACAAAGAAGTCTTGCTTAAATAAATGTCTTATCTATCAGTGTACTTGGCCCATATTAACCCAATGAAGTAATTTTTTTATATGAAGTAATTTTTTAAAATTATTCTGTTGCTCTTTAATACTTTGGAAATGTCTCTGACATCTTTTGATTTCTTGACAATTGGTACCAAGGGTGTTGCTGGTCATGGATCCATGTAAGAGTAGATTGTTGACAATTTCAATATTTTCTTCATCTATCATGATTGGCCCAGTGGTTAGAATGTATTATTGATGTTAAGATGTAATCTATAATGAAGCAGTCCTTGCTCTGCAGCAAGCATTTTAATTCCTCTTCACTCTCAACCAGGAAAGTTGGGTCATCTCCATGAATAAGCAGGTGTCTGACGAGTCCTCTCATCCTGATGTCACATTCTTCTTTGTAAAGTTCAGTTTCTCGAATAATTTGCTCAGTGTACAGATTGAATAGGTATGGAGAAAGGAAACAGCCTTGACAAGAATTTTGCTTACTTTTAAGCCATGCTGTGTTCCTCTGCTCTGTATGCACAGTAGCTTCTTGGTTTAGGTGTAGATTTTGCACTAGAATGAAAATAGCTATTTTGTAATGATTTTTTTAAATTGAGTACTTGATTTTGTTGGTTTTCATCTCTTGAGATTATGATATGATTTTTCTATTTATTCAGATGGGGTAATAAATGCTACTACAATGCATATTCTTTGGATAAAAACACATTGGTTATATTTTTCCTAGGATATTTAAATCTAAGTTCAAATTTCTTTATGCATTTTGGTATAATGGTTATTCTAAGCTAAATAAAGGGGGGGAAAAACCAAAACAACTGAGATAGAGGATCTGACTTCTTTTATATTACTTAGACTGTTGTTGCATACTGTTGAGATGGAACCGACCCACAGCTGACCTTCCAGTGGATTTTCAAAGACAGTAAATTGCACACGAGGAGACTGTCCATCGCCTCCCACAAAGCACTGGTGGATTTGAACTGCTGATCTTTGAGATAGCAGCCCAGTTTCTTTCTTATTTGTTTTTAGAACTTACCATTAATACACCTAGAATTTCTCTGGAGGAACATTTTTAATCATCCAACCAATTTCTCAACTGTTACGGAACTATTGCATTTTCTGTTTCTTCTTTTGTCTGTTTCTAAAAGTTGTGCTATTCTACGAGTTTGAACATGTCAAATTTTCAAATGTATTAACAATTTCACAATATTTTATTATCTTTAGGATGTTCAGGAGGCATAGCATATATATTATACAAATGATGAGCCATAAACTTTTAGATTTTTCTCTCTAGCCTTAGCCATATTAGTCACAATATTAAGTGGCAGGTTGTTGTTGTTACTGGGGTTTTTTTCTACCAGTTTATTTACAAAATTCAAATACAAATTTGAACACATCCTTTCAATTTCCCTTACTCACCCCATCTGTTGTTATTGTTGATTGTTGTGGAATTGAGCATGACTCATAGCACCCCTATGAACAAAAGGCCTGAAGTCTTTACATAACGTCATTTTTCAAAGTTCATAGTTTCCAGAGGCATGTTGTTTAGGAAGTGGATGCCACTCTCACTTCCAAACATGGCAGATGGGTTCAGTACTACTAAGAAAGACGGCCATCAAGAACCCTCTAAGTCTGGAACAAATACTTTTTTCCACCTCTTCTTTGTCTCAGCGCTTGAGTATAGAACCAACAGGCAGGAAGCCGCTGGCACTGAAGACATGATGCCCAGCGGGCTGAAGCCCTCTCCCTTTGCCTCTGTACATAACGGGGACTGGGACGGCACACCCAGCCCCCACCAAGACAAGGAGGGTACAACTACTCTTTTTTCCCCCTTTGGCAGTACAGTTCATTTCAGGTTCGTTTATTCATTAGACACAAGGGGAGGCGGGAAAGCATAAAGATAGTACCTGTTATCAAGACTCGGTGCTTTGAGGAGCAAAAGTATCTGGTAAAGAAATAAATACAACCTCATGAGACAGATTTCACTCTGTTCACGATACAGAGATCCACATGATGCTGAGGAAGCAGAAAGGAAAGGTGATCTTCATTTTCTTTCAGAATTGATTTCCATGTGTTGGTGAGACTGGTAGAGTAGTAAGAGTTGAAGACTGAGAAACATGTCATGAATGGATTTATGCCACATTAAAAAGTTCCATGTAGTGTATGATGAGGTGGCACCAAAAGCTTTAAAATAATCTGATTTGCATTTTATAAAGTTAAAAATGGGAAACGATACATATTTAGTAATTTTAATAATTTAAAATTATCTAAATATACACTCCTATCAAGTAACAATTTAAAAAAAAACAAAACCTTTAATCTAAGTTTTAAAAACTATAGGACAGGACATGGGAAGCTTCTCATAGTTTTCCCAAGTGAGTATCACAGATTAGGAAGGAAGAAAAGTGTGACCAAACATTGCATACCTATAACAAGACGCTCCATAGGGACACTCAGGGCGGTCATCAACTTCATCCTGACATGTGACGTTTACACCTCCATAATCACTATCACCAGGGTGGCTGAAGTGTTCGAAATGGACAGGATTTTTCCTATTGGGGCGATAAATACATGGTGAAAAAAAATTTTTTTACAGGATATT